TAGCCTGCATAGAAGAGCCAAAATTAAAACACCCAATGCCTCCTCCCACAACAGTGTGCCAGGACAAAAAGCTCTTGCTGGGCATCACCTACACATGGTGAGCACCAGATAAGCCCCACCGACACGCCAACCTGCCCTTTCTTAGCCACCCAAAACTCCATCCCTCCACATGGAAGGGAACCAAGGAAAAGCTAGGGTGGAATGTGGGCATTGGCAGCAGCAGAATGGGAGGAAGCCCTGGGGTGGTGAGGCAGCAGGAGGCCTGTGCGAGAGGACCGCCGCTCCCCGGGGCTGAGGGACTGAGGAGCAGTGGGTCTGGACCCCAGCTGGGCACACTGTCCCCCCCACCACAGTGGGGCGGTCATTGGCATCCATGAGGAATGGCTCAGGGAGATCCGAGAGGAGCCCAGATGTAAGCGGCGAGGAGAAGCAGACAGGCCAACCCAATACGGGTGATAAGCAACTTCTAGTTTATTTGTGACGCAGTTCACACATATATAGGAGTGGTATTCAGCCACTCCTTCTTGGCATAACAGTATTGGTTAGCCCCCACAGCTTCCTCCACATTCTCCTCCCAGGTCCGGTCTCCGGCCACCTGTGGGGGCCACCCCCTGCCTTGCTTGCACAGTCCTCCAGAACTCTATGGTCCTGCTCTTAAGAGTCATTCTGCAACAATTCCCCCCTTTTTCTTTGTGCAAGCAAGGCATTATGGGTTATTCTGTTCACCTGTTTTATCACACAACTATAAACAAGCCTAATAGCTACGATGATTAACCTAACAAGGATACATAAGTGCAATACTTTTAAACAGTGTTTGACTCAACCTGTAATGCCCCGTGAAGACAACCATCTAGTTATTCTTAGGATATTGCTCATTTCCTATTGCTGGGTAAGCTGAGCCAGGGTTCTCAGCTGTGCGTACATCGAATTAGCATAATCAGAGACTCATACAACACATTCCATCAAACTCTTCACATCCATGTCCCTGTTCCAACAACAAAAGGTTCTGCAGTGTTGCATGTCTTACAGAGTCAACATTAAAACAAATCAGGAATTGCCTTCGATGTAGAATTGTCTGCTTAGCAACTCAGCAACCCAGTCTGCTTAGTTGAGCTGAAGCACTTACAGTGATTTGGCATATTATGATTGGATCCATGTTTTGAAGACCCTCAGTGACTAACATATAATCGGTTAAACACAGGTGTGAGAACTCAACCCTGAAAGCTTGCCAACAGTCCACAGTTCTCATTAGCTTGGTGAATTCCAGCCTCTTATCTTGCTTGCTTAAGCTTCCTCGGGCCTCCCACGGCCCCGCGGTATCTTTCAGGACCATTCAAAGTTTATGTACCAATTACCCATTCTCCTGTGAGAACACTGTCTCCACATCTTCCCCCTTTTGTTTTCTCCAGTAACGAGTCGCTACTACAGCAAGGCATACATAAATTTACATTAGCAGAGTAACTATTACAGGGTGCAGCAGCATGTCGAAGATGCTGATGGCAGTGAAGGACTAGCCAAAGAAATTTCTTACCAGTGGAATTCTCCCCCCCCTTAATTTGTTCCATCACCTCCTTTATAACACTACCATTGTATTAAAATTTTTCTAGCTTTTGCCTTAGCATTTTCTAGCAGCTACTGCAAATTTCCATACTCTAACATCTCTTTTACAAGTGACAAATCTATACAATACAAGGTGCAGTTTCTTATTAGCAACTAGCTAGTAAATACAGGTGGTTTTATACACAAAATCACAACCTCTAATAATAACTACTTTACAAGCACACATATTCAGGATGTTACTTTTCAGTTGCCCCCAAGTGATGTTTTGCAGTCATTCGTTTTTCTCTTCCTCTATCTCAGTCTGCTTGGGGTATTCACGGTCAGCTCCTGTAGCTGAGGCATCAGGTTTATCCATTCGTCTGTCCAGCTCATGGCAAGGCTTGACAAACTTTGCAGGCAGTCACCATGGACCTGTAGGCAGGAGGACACAAATATACCCCCTCCCCCAGGTTATCAGTTCTTCAGTTCTTGAGAAGTAGACAGGTTAGACAGGTTAAGTGCAGCATCATTACTCTCTCTCTCTCTCCCCCTCTTTTCTTTTCTTTTTTTTTTTTTTTTTTAGTCCCTGCAAAAGCCATCATTACTCCCACTACAGTCCCACGTACAGAACGTGGCACAAGGACCCTGTGGAGACTAACAGCAAACCAGCTCCGAGAAGGAGAAGCATCATTGCAGTGAGAGGTGGCAGGCTCAACCTTAGCGGGGGTCCCCGCAGAGGCTCCGCCTCCCCCACATCGTATGAGGCTTGGGCTTTTATACCGACCAAAATGCACACTCGTTCCGACACAGGTGGCCAGCCTGTGCTGGAACAAGTGGCTAGCAGTATCTACAGAGGTCTCCAAGGGTTGATAGAAACCTGGACATACTTATATTTACCAACTTCTAGTACATGAGTATCACAGAGAAACTGTATGGGCTCTCCCTGTCAATTGCAAGAAAAAATCATAACATATACAGCTTGAGTATAAGAGGATTTTAACGCATACGTGGTCACCGTTTGTCAGGCCTCCTTAACTATTTTGAGATCAAGAGCTTCCCACTCTTTAGCCCCCTGCTGTGTAGTAAACACAGGATATGCCAAGATGCCCATTGCAGAAAATTCCCCAGTAATGTTCACCTCTTTGGTTACCCATTGTTACAACAGAGCGTCTCCAGGGCCAGTAAGTCTGAGCAGACCGACCCGGGAGATGAAGAGTCAGGGTCTGGAAGCAGAGGATATAAATCTGGCTCGGATTCAGGGGATTCGGGGGCTGATCCTGCGCCGAACTCGGGGTCTCCGTTGCTCGCAGCTGTGTCTTTCTTATCAGATGTCTCTCGTTCGGTATGTGGCCATCTGCAGACCTGGCTCCTCCGTGACTGAGTTAAAAATCTTTTCACTCTGGGGCATAGTGGGCTGGAGAGGCTCGCGGTTCCTTTAAATCTCCCGCTCGCGCATGATCCCTATTTTCTACTGCGTGCTTCAAAATGGCGCCGCAATCGGTCCGGCGCCGAGGCACCGCCCTCTTTCTTTCGGATTCCTCGACTTTTATCATGCGTGTACCTTCTAATATACTTTCTCTGTCCTTTTCAAAGTCCCTGCTTTCGGAACTGGGGTGGTGGGGGAGCAGGGGGTTACACCTCCTCCGCGGCACCTTCTGATGGAGGGGGAGAAAAGGGGGGGGGGAAACCCTGTGCTCCCGCGAGTTGGGGTGGGGGGGAACGAGTTGTAATCTTCCCCCGGTTTCAGCCGACCGGGGACGTCTGTTCCTAGTTTCTCCGTTGCTACCGCAGCAGTTTTCTTTTCTGCCTTGTATCTTTTTATACAGTTCATTACTTCCCTCCGTGGTTTACCGAGTTTCTTTGCCTTTTTATAATCATTAAGCACTGAGTCAAATAGTTCATCACCAAACTTTTGCCACTCACTCTCCTCAAATATTGTATTAGGATCTGCAAAAAAAATCTCTTAGCCTTCCCTACAGCCACTAGACCTGCTAGCTGCTTTAGAGTCTCAGGCTCAATTCCCCGCTTTTCTAAAAAGCACTGTAAAAAGTTAAGGGCTCAGTTCCCCGCTGCCGTTGTCGAAGCCGAGTTTTGCTGAGGGACAGTGAAACGGAGATTCATGAACCACTTTATCCGATTTAAAATGCTTTCTCTTGCCCCCAATGTAATCTACGTGTTTAAATTTTGCCTCGGAAAGGTTAGGGGCGTAATTCCTGTATTTGGCACGTGGACGTGGCCTCCGTGTGGAGATCTCTACATGCATGGCCAGACTGGGGAGATTCCTTGGGTGTACAAACCCTTCCCTGCTTGTCTTTCAAGCGACCACTTCTTCATGCAGGCTTGATGAAGCACTAGAGATAATCGTGTCGGAATTTAGCTTGTCACTGGCTATTAGCGCTAACATGCCATTTATAAATCTGCAAAGGAGATGCTGAGTAAGAGCCTCAGAGGGTATTTCTTAACCCCCTTAGCACAACAGGATGGCTGTAGGTAAAAGACCCCGCATTACAGAAGCTTGATCTCGGCTGAAGTACAAGCTTAGTGCTGGGAAGGCCATTTCCTCCAAAGTCTTTTTCTGCAGCTCTCTGGTAGTGGGATCTTGATGGTATTGACCAACAAACAAGTGTACGTGCTTGCATTTCGTGTCCCGTTTGTAGGTGAGCAAGAGCATACGGTGAGCATCCGAATAAATAATCAGTATTGAGAGCTGGTTGGTTCTTGCCCGTGTCAACAGGAGCGTAACTCCCTGCGCGGCTGTTTCCTGACCAATGAGCTGACCTTTCCAAAGGGACATGTCCAGGCAGCAAGAGGCTGCTCTTGCTCCGTTGCTGTGGTTACGGCCCGGCAACAGTTCCCAGGGCGTAGGGAGCTCAGCTCCATGTTGTGGTTACAGCCCTGCGACAATTATGAGGACGTAGGTTGCTCAGCTCCGTTGGCTTGGCCACAGCTCTGTGACCCTTGCAGCGGGCAGTAGAACTGCAGTGGCTGCTGCGTACACAGCGGGGCTGGAGAGCCGAGGCAGGAGCAGCGGCATCATGCTGGGCCAGAAGACGAACCTCAGCAAGCGCATCCGTGAGATGCGTGCCAGCATAGCCTTGCAAGGTGCTGCCCCGTTGGCTTTGCGTTATGGGCTGGGCCAAGTAGGGGGCTTTTGGTCCCCGCATCATCCTGCATGGTACCAACAGCTCCTCAATGTCCTGCAGGGCAAGCAAGGAACTTGTACAGCAAGCCACAGGAAGAGAAGTTCACGCAGAACGTGGAGCGGCTGCCCCAGCTGCGAGAGGCGGTGCAGGAGGATATCTATGTCCTGGGCCTTGCCCGCAAGGTACCGGCAGGTCCCATTTGCTGCCTCCGTGACTGTGACTCTGCTGGACGTGCAGAGCTAGCTTCTCCACTGGTCCTGTCCAGGAGCAGGGAGTGCAGGGCAGCAGGAGGCTGGGACCATCCCCAGGCTGGCAGTGATGTGTTCTCTGCCCTTCTTCTGCCCACAGCATGAGCTCACCATCGCTGAGGCTTGCGGAGCGGAGCAGCCCTTGGGCATTGCTTTGGCCAGTAAGCCGTTGGAGGTAATAGCAGAGTCCAGCGGGGCCAGGCTGCTGGCAGTGGGCTGGGGTTCAGGGGATGCTCAGAAGGAGCGGTTGGAGGGAACAGGCAGCTGGTGCCAGCACCAGGACAGCCCCGCAGGGCTGGTGCAGTGAGACACGGGGCGTCCATGAGCGGTCCCGTGGGACCCTTTGCACTGCAGGACCCATCAGTGTCCTCCCCTAGCTCCCTGAGCAGGTCCTTTGCCCCAGCAGAGTTCCTGTCCCGCCAAGGGAGCGAGCAGGTCCCAGCATCCCCAGCTCTACCTTGGCAATGAGTTTTGCAGGCAGGACCCCTTCTCCCGTGGGCGCCCAGCGAGCCCTGCCTCCAGCCTGGCAAATGCTCACATCCCATGCAGGTGGCCCAGGAGAAGCTCCGGGCTGAAGTCTGTCGCCAGGTGAACACATGCAACATGCTGCTGTACCAGGTGGAGCAGCGGAGCCGGGCCAAGGAGCGGCTGCAGAGGCGGCTGCAGCAGCTGCAGGATGTCCAGAGGGCCGAAAAGCAGCAGCAGGCACAGGTGCCAGGGCCCCTCCCTGGGGTGGCAGCACCCGTGGGGGGTTTCAGTCAACCCTGCCCCCCTGGGTGGGCACTGGTCTCAGTAGATGGGCTCACCCCTTGTCTCCAACCTTCTCTGCCCTAGGTGGTTCGTACCCTGGAGGGCAACATAGAGAAGATGCAAACAAAAGTCCGCGCTGGGCAGAAGGTGACTGCCCTGTACGTGGCGGTGCGGGATGCCCTGAGGAAGGTGAGCTCATCCTCACCGTGCCGTTGTCTCACCCGCTCCCCCTGCAAAGGCACTGAAGGGCCCAAGGGGCTGTGCTGGTGGGACACCCTCCTGCAGGAGGTCCTCCTGCTCCCCTCCACCTTCTGTCCCAGCACAGGGCACCCCTGGGACTCAGTGGGCTCTGGCTCCCCGTGTCCCAGGAGCTGGCCCACCTGCCTCTGCACCTGGACCTCCTGAGTGAGACGGCCGAGCTGCAGCATAGGGAGGTGGAGGACATGGAGCTCATGGCCTCGCGTGGGCTCAGAGCTGCTCGTGGAGCCGAGGTGAGACCATCGTCCAGGGCACCTCAGGGTGCTTTCCTGCCCTCCAGAGCCCACACATGGCACCAGACGGCCGTGCTGCTGAGTCTTCCTTCCTTCAAGAAAAAGCAAGACTGAGCTTGGCTTCCCCGCAGCACCCAGATGCCTCCATAGCTCCTCCTGTGTCTGGCACTTGGGCCGGGCTGCCCTGAGCTGGGGACAGCTGCCTGAAGCCCTGGCCACGGGGAAGGTGGCGTTCTCCATTCTCTAGCTGGCCTTGCTCACTTTCCTTCCCAGGCTGTTTACAGGGGGTAGGGGGTGGCATTTTTGATGCTGGCCATGCCAGGCTTAGAAGCTCACAGAGGTCCGCTGGAGCTTTGGGAGCCACTTCTCTTCTGCTCTGCTCCAGGAGCGCATGGTCAGGACGAAAACCCAGGTCCTTGCAGAGAGGGAGCTCAGGCTCCGCACCCAGGCTGCTCAGAAAGAGCCCAGAGACGGAGGCTGGCTCAAGGAAGCAAAAGAAAGGGCTCTGAAAACGGTGAGCTGGGGGACCCCGGCACATTCAGGGTTGCCGGCATAGGGCGGGCATCAGTGCCCAGCCTGCCATGGGTGAGGGGCTGCAGGGCCAGCTCCCCCAGGGTGCCAGCAGCTCAGGGGTGACGATGAACATCCTTGCAGCAAGCCAAGCATGACCTCAGCAGGGACTTCCTGAGCCTGCCCGCAGAGGACCCAGTGGTGGGTGAGTGCCTGTCAGGGTGCAGGGGGGGGATGCAGGCGCAGCCGCAGGCATCCTTCCCTGCCACAACCTTTCCACCGCAGCTGCCAAACTGGAGGCCACCAAGTACCAGCTGCAGCGGGAGGCCTACGTGAGGGAGAAGATAGAGGAGGCCAAGGATGTGGTGCAGTGCTCCCGCCTCTGGGTGAGGTGAAAAGCCATCTCTGGTAGAAGCTGGGGCTGCTCCAGCCCCAGGGAGCTGAGCCTTGTCTGCTCACCTTGTTCCATGGCAGGGTTATCTGCTCTCCTCTGTCCCCAGAGCCCCCCAGGGCCCCTCTTGTACAGGCAGGGCTGGAACTGCTTTGCTCCACGCCATGAACTTGCAGTGCTTCCTGTGGTTCCTGGTGCAGAAACCTCCCCAGGAGCACGGCCCAGATCCTGTACCCTGCAGGAGTGCCCTGGGCTGAGTCCCTGTGCTCTCCCCCGGCCAGGACATCCCCATCAGGCTCCAGGCACAGCAGAAGTCCCTGCTGGAAATGGAGCAGTACCTCACAAGGTGCAAGGAGAAGAAGCAGGAGCTGGAGAAGGCAGTGAAGGAGCTGGAGATGCAGCGCGATGAGCTGAAGTTTCGCCGGCCCCCAGACACAAGCAGGTGCTGCTGGCCTCCGGACACTCATGCCAAAGGGGCCGGCACCCTTAGGGGCAGGGGGACACGTGCATGGCAGGTGTCCCAAGAGGGCAGCCCTTCCTTTGTCACCCTGCGGCTGCCCACCCCTCCCGCACTGGGAGGCTTTCTGAGCAGAGTGCTGCCCCAGCTCTGGTGCTGGCAGAGCACGCAAAGCTCCTGCGCTGGCAGCAGGAGGAGCCTTGCTCCTTGCCTGGCATGGGAAGTGGGAGCAGCAGCAGCGTGGGGTTGAGTTGCAGGCAGCATCTCTGCCCTGCGCTTGGGGGCAGGGGAGAAGCTGGGCAGCAGCTTTTGCAACAGCTTTGGGGTGTCTGCACCCCTGTGCCGTTGTATGGATGTGACCGTGGTTGGCTCCAGGGGGCTGGTGGAGGAGCTGAGGACGAGGCTGCAGCGGGAAGAGGCTCGGCTGGAACAGGGGCGAGCCCAGCTGCTGAGGAGCCAGGAGACGCTGCTGGACTTTGAAAACGCACTTGACAACCTCTTCGTCCGGCTGCGGGGCATCACCGTGCCTGGCCAGGTACCCGCCCAACGCTGGGCTGAGCAGAGCCCAGGCTCTGCTTGGTGCTGCAACGGCACCGTGTGGTGACACTTGGTGCAGCGACCATCACCCCAAGGGGCTCGTTCTCCCCACCAAGGCTGTTCCCTCTCTGACTCCAGGAGCATCCTGTCAAGGCCATGGCAGTGGACGAGAAGCTCCGGCAGTGTGAGCAGAAGCTGCAGTACCTGGTGCAGCGGGTGGCTGACCTGCCCCCCTCCAGCCACAGCGAGGATGATGAGGTGCACGGCGGCTCCATCCCTGCTGCGCTCTTTGGGGACCCGCACAGGCTTTCCCGGGTGGCCCGTGCCAAGCCATCCTCCCAGCTGGAGGATGGAGGTGCTCGAGGGAAGAGCCACGGAGCAGCTCAGGCCCAGGTGGCCCCGGGCTCTGTGGGGTGTTCCCTACCAGGGGCACATGGAGCTTGGGCACCCCTTTGCTTGTAACACCCGCCTCCCCTTCAGCTATGAACACAGCCTCTCTTTCACAGACTTTTGTGAAGGTCAGGCAGCTGCTGGAGGAAACCCTCATGGCCGATCCACGGAACCGGAAGGTTTCCTTGGAGGACACGGGCGTGGGGCTCCAAGGTAGGAAAGGGGACACATCCCACGGCAACTGCCCCAGCCAGCCCCTGCCTCCTGGCATTTCTGGCTGTCCTTGCCCATCTCCCACTGTCCCAGCAGAGCCCAACCCAGGAGTTGCTGCAGGCGTTGGGGCTGACCGCGCTTGGCTCCAGGCCTTTGAGCATAGTGCTGGTTTTCTGTGTGCATGTGGGAGACTGGAGGCAGATGGTGGCTTGGGGAGCGTAGAAGCACCACAGGAGCAAGGGGGGATGCTGTGGTGCAAGCGGGGAGAGCCTCGTCTTCAGAACCACTTGGCTGTGAATCTTCTTCACAGCCAGGGCTTGGCTCTGCCAGTGGCCTCCTCCTATGGGAGCTGCCGGCTCCTCCTGGGGACACAGGCACAGCAGAGGCAGCCCCACAGACCCTCCCCAGCCCGCTCCTCTCCGCTCTCTCCTCCAGACGATTTTGATATCCCTGACAACCACAGTGGCCTTGTCCTCACCAGAGAAGCCATCAAGAAGCAAGGGCTGGACTTGATCGAAAGCAAGAAGAAAAGCAAGAGGAAGTAGCGGTTGCTCCCCGAGACCTGGGGATGCCCCAGAGCACCCGTTGTGCACTTTTGCCTCCTGTTAATAGAGGAGATGTTTTTCATTCCATCGGATGCGCTTGGTGGGCTTTGTGTGACTGCAGGTGTGGGGATTCTATTGCCAAAACGTAGCACAAGCTGTGGTTTTGAAAGGAAGCTCCAGAAGGAGCATGATGTGCCAGTGACCACGTGGAATGGAGCGTCCCAGAACCAAGAGCCCAACAGGTACTTTCTTCTGCAATCACACTGCAGAAGACAACCCACCCATCTCCTGCCCCTGTCCTGTTCTCATGTGCTTACCGCAGCCAGGGGGGTGAGCTGAACTTCTAGGAACTACATCATAGATAGCCTGCATAGAAGAGCCAAAATTAAAACACCCAATGCCTCCTCCCACAACAGTGTGCCAGGACAAAAAGCTCTTGCTGGGCATCACCTACACATGGTGAGCACCAGATAAGCCCCACCGACACGCCAACCTGCCCTTTCTTAGCCACCCAAAACTCCATCCCTCCACATGGAAGGGAACCAAGGAAAAGCTAGGGTGGAATGTGGGCATTGGCAGCAGCAGAATGGGAGGAAGCCCTGGGGTGGTGAGGCAGCAGGAGGCCTGTGCGAGAGGACCGCCGCTCCCCGGGGCTGAGGGACTGAGGAGCAGTGGGTCTGGACCCCAGCTGGGCACACTGTCCCCCCCACCACAGTGGGGCGGTCATTGGCATCCATGAGGAATGGCTCAGGGAGATCCGAGAGGAGCCCAGATGTAAGCGGCGAGGAGAAGCAGACAGGCCAACCCAATACGGGTGATAAGCAACTTCTAGTTTATTTGTGACGCAGTTCACACATATATAGGAGTGGTATTCAGCCACTCCTTCTTGGCATAACAGTATTGGTTAGCCCCCACAGCTTCCTCCACATTCTCCTCCCAGGTCCGGTCTCCGGCCACCTGTGGGGGCCACCCCCTGCCTTGCTTGCACAGTCCTCCAGAACTCTATGGTCCTGCTCTTAAGAGTCATTCTGCAACAATTCCCCCCTTTTTCTTTGTGCAAGCAAGGCATTATGGGTTATTCTGTTCACCTGTTTTATCACACAACTATAAACAAGCCTAATAGCTACGATGATTAACCTAACAAGGATACATAAGTGCAATACTTTTAAACAGTGTTTGACTCAACCTGTAATGCCCCGTGAAGACAACCATCTAGTTATTCTTAGGATATTGCTCATTTCCTATTGCTGGGTAAGCTGAGCCAGGGTTCTCAGCTGTGCGTACATCGAATTAGCATAATCAGAGACTCATACAACACATTCCATCAAACTCTTCACATCCATGTCCCTGTTCCAACAACAAAAGGTTCTGCAGTGTTGCATGTCTTACAGAGTCAACATTAAAACAAATCAGGAATTGCCTTCGATGTAGAATTGTCTGCTTAGCAACTCAGCAACCCAGTCTGCTTAGTTGAGCTGAAGCACTTACAGTGATTTGGCATATTATGATTGGATCCATGTTTTGAAGACCCTCAGTGACTAACATATAATCGGTTAAACACAGGTGTGAGAACTCAACCCTGAAAGCTTGCCAACAGTCCACAGTTCTCATTAGCTTGGTGAATTCCAGCCTCTTATCTTGCTTGCTTAAGCTTCCTCGGGCCTCCCACGGCCCCGCGGTATCTTTCAGGACCATTCAAAGTTTATGTACCAATTACCCATTCTCCTGTGAGAACACTGTCTCCACATCTTCCCCCTTTTGTTTTCTCCAGTAACGAGTCGCTACTACAGCAAGGCATACATAAATTTACATTAGCAGAGTAACTATTACAGGGTGCAGCAGCATGTCGAAGATGCTGATGGCAGTGAAGGACTAGCCAAAGAAATTTCTTACCAGTGGAATTCTCCCCCCCCTTAATTTGTTCCATCACCTCCTTTATAACACTACCATTGTATTAAAATTTTTCTAGCTTTTGCCTTAGCATTTTCTAGCAGCTACTGCAAATTTCCATACTCTAACATCTCTTTTACAAGTGACAAATCTATACAATACAAGGTGCAGTTTCTTATTAGCAACTAGCTAGTAAATACAGGTGGTTTTATACACAAAATCACAACCTCTAATAATAACTACTTTACAAGCACACATATTCAGGATGTTACTTTTCAGTTGCCCCCAAGTGATGTTTTGCAGTCATTCGTTTTTCTCTTCCTCTATCTCAGTCTGCTTGGGGTATTCACGGTCAGCTCCTGTAGCTGAGGCATCAGGTTTATCCATTCGTCTGTCCAGCTCATGGCAAGGCTTGACAAACTTTGCAGGCAGTCACCATGGACCTGTAGGCAGGAGGACACAAATATACCCCCTCCCCCAGGTTATCAGTTCTTCAGTTCTTGAGAAGTAGACAGGTTAGACAGGTTAAGTGCAGCATCATTACTCTCTCTCTCTCCCCCTCTTTTCTTTTCTTTTTTTTTTTTTTTTTTTTAGTCCCTGCAAAAGCCATCATTACTCCCACTACAGTCCCACGTACAGAACGTGGCACAAGGACCCTGTGGAGACTAACAGCAAACCAGCTCCGAGAAGGAGAAGCATCATTGCAGTGAGAGGTGGCAGGCTCAACCTTAGCGGGGGTCCCCGCAGAGGCTCCGCCTCCCCCACATCGTATGAGGCTTGGGCTTTTATACCGACCAAAATGCACACTCGTTCCGACACAGGTGGCCAGCCTGTGCTGGAACAAGTGGCTAGCAGTATCTACAGAGGTCTCCAAGGGTTGATAGAAACCTGGACATACTTATATTTACCAACTTCTAGTACATGAGTATCACAGAGAAACTGTATGGGCTCTCCCTGTCAATTGCAAGAAAAAATCATAACATATACAGCTTGAGTATAAGAGGATTTTAACGCATACGTGGTCACCGTTTGTCAGGCCTCCTTAACTATTTTGAGATCAAGAGCTTCCCACTCTTTAGCCCCCTGCTGTGTAGTAAACACAGGATATGCCAAGATGCCCATTGCAGAAAATTCCCCAGTAATGTTCACCTCTTTGGTTACCCATTGTTACAACAGAGCGTCTCCAGGGCCAGTAAGTCTGAGCAGACCGACCCGGGAGATGAAGAGTCAGGGTCTGGAAGCAGAGGATATAAATCTGGCTCGGATTCAGGGGATTCGGGGGCTGATCCTGCGCCGAACTCGGGGTCTCCGTTGCTCGCAGCTGTGTCTTTCTTATCAGATGTCTCTCGTTCGGTATGTGGCCATCTGCAGACCTGGCTCCTCCGTGACTGAGTTAAAAATCTTTTCACTCTGGGGCATAGTGGGCTGGAGAGGCTCGCGGTTCCTTTAAATCTCCCGCTCGCGCATGATCCCTATTTTCTACTGCGTGCTTCAAAATGGCGCCGCAATCGGTCCGGCGCCGAGGCACCGCCCTCTTTCTTTCGGATTCCTCGACTTTTATCATGCGTGTACCTTCTAATATACTTTCTCTGTCCTTTTCAAAGTCCCTGCTTTCGGAACTGGGGTGGTGGGGGAGCAGGGGGTTACACCTCCTCCGCGGCACCTTCTGATGGAGGGGGAGAAAAGGGGGGGGGGAAACCCTGTGCTCCCGCGAGTTGGGGTGGGGGGGAACGAGTTGTAATCTTCCCCCGGTTTCAGCCGACCGGGGACGTCTGTTCCTAGTTTCTCCGTTGCTACCGCAGCAGTTTTCTTTTCTGCCTTGTATCTTTTTATACAGTTCATTACTTCCCTCCGTGGTTTACCGAGTTTCTTTGCCTTTTTATAATCATTAAGCACTGAGTCAAATAGTTCATCACCAAACTTTTGCCACTCACTCTCCTCAAATATTGTATTAGGATCTGCAAAAAAAATCTCTTAGCCTTCCCTACAGCCACTAGACCTGCTAGCTGCTTTAGAGTCTCAGGCTCAATTCCCCGCTTTTCTAAAAAGCACTGTAAAAAGTTAAGGGCTCAGTTCCCCGCTGCCGTTGTCGAAGCCGAGTTTTGCTGAGGGACAGTGAAACGGAGATTCATGAACCACTTTATCCGATTTAAAATGCTTTCTCTTGCCCCCAATGTAATCTACGTGTTTAAATTTTGCCTCGGAAAGGTTAGGGGCGTAATTCCTGTATTTGGCACGTGGACGTGGCCTCCGTGTGGAGATCTCTACATGCATGGCCAGACTGGGGAGATTCCTTGGGTGTACAAACCCTTCCCTGCTTGTCTTTCAAGCGACCACTTCTTCATGCAGGCTTGATGAAGCACTAGAGATAATCGTGTCGGAATTTAGCTTGTCACTGGCTATTAGCGCTAACATGCCATTTATAAATCTGCAAAGGAGATGCTGAGTAAGAGCCTCAGAGGGTATTTCTTAACCCCCTTAGCACAACAGGATGGCTGTAGGTAAAAGACCCCGCATTACAGAAGCTTGATCTCGGCTGAAGTACAAGCTTAGTGCTGGGAAGGCCATTTCCTCCAAAGTCTTTTTCTGCAGCTCTCTGGTAGCGGGATCTTGATGGTATTGACCAACAAACAAGTGTACGTGCTTGCATTTCGTGTCCCGTTTGTAGGTGAGCAAGAGCATACGGTGAGCATCCGAATAAATAATCAGTATTGAGAGCTGGTTGGTTCTTGCCCGTGTCAACAGGAGCGTAACTCCCTGCGCGGCTGTTTCCTGACCAATGAGCTGACCTTTCCAAAGGGACATGTCCAGGCAGCAAGAGGCTGCTCTTGCTCCGTTGCTGTGGTTACGGCCCGGCAACAGTTCCCAGGGCGTAGGGAGCTCAGCTCCATGTTGTGGTTACAGCCCTGCGACAATTATGAGGACGTAGGTTGCTCAGCTCCGTTGGCTTGGCCACAGCTCTGTGACCCTTGCAGCGGGCAGTAGAACTGCAGTGGCTGCTGCGTACACAGCGGGGCTGGAGAGCCGAGGCAGGAGCAGCGGCATCATGCTGGGCCAGAAGACGAACCTCAGCAAGCGCATCCGTGAGATGCGTGCCAGCATAGCCTTGCAAGGTGCTGCCCCGTTGGCTTTGCGTTATGGGCTGGGCCAAGTAGGGGGCTTTTGGTCCCCGCATCATCCTGCATGGTACCAACAGCTCCTCAATGTCCTGCAGGGCAAGCAAGGAACTTGTACAGCAAGCCACAGGAAGAGAAGTTCACGCAGAACGTGGAGCGGCTGCCCCAGCTGCGAGAGGCGGTGCAGGAGGATATCTATGTCCTGGGCCTTGCCCGCAAGGTACCGGCAGGTCCCATTTGCTGCCTCCGTGACTGTGACTCTGCTGGACGTGCAGAGCTAGCTTCTCCACTGGTCCTGTCCAGGAGCAGGGAGTGCAGGGCAGCAGGAGGCTGGGACCATCCCCAGGCTGGCAGTGATGTGTTCTCTGCCCTTCTTCTGCCCACAGCATGAGCTCACCATCGCTGAGGCTTGCGGAGCGGAGCAGCCCTTGGGCATTGCTTTGGCCAGTAAGCCGTTGGAGGTAATAGCAGAGTCCAGCGGGGCCAGGCTGCTGGCAGTGGGCTGGGGTTCAGGGGATGCTCAGAAGGAGCGGTTGGAGGGAACAGGCAGCTGGTGCCAGCACCAGGACAGCCCCGCAGGGCTGGTGCAGTGAGACACGGGGCGTCCATGAGCGGTCCCGTGGGACCCTTTGCACTGCAGGACCCATCAGTGTCCTCCCCTAGCTCCCTGAGCAGGTCCTTTGCCCCAGCAGAGTTCCTGTCCCGCCAAGGGAGCGAGCAGGTCCCAGCATCCCCAGCTCTACCTTGGCAATGAGTTTTGCAGGCAGGACCCCTTCTCCCGTGGGCGCCCAGCGAGCCCTGCCTCCAGCCTGGCAAATGCTCACATCCCATGCAGGTGGCCCAGGAGAAGCTCCGGGCTGAAGTCTGTCGCCAGGTGAACACATGCAACATGCTGCTGTACCAGGTGGAGCAGCGGAGCCGGGCCAAGGAGCGGCTGCAGAGGCGGCTGCAGCAGCTGCAGGATGTCCAGAGGGCCGAAAAGCAGCAGCAGGCACAGGTGCCAGGGCCCCTCCCTGGGGTGGCAGCACCCGTGGGGGGTTTCAGTCAACCCTGCCCCCCTGGGTGGGCACTGGTCTCAGTAGATGGGCTCACCCCTTGTCTCCAACCTTCTCTGCCCTAGGTGGTTCGTACCCTGGAGGGCAACATAGAGAAGATGCAAACAAAAGTCCGCGCTGGGCAGAAGGTGACTGCCCTGTACGTGGCGGTGCGGGATGCCCTGAGGAAGGTGAGCTCATCCTCACCGTGCCGTTGTCTCACCCGCTCCCCCTGCAAAGGCACTGAAGGGCCCAAGGGGCTGTGCTGGTGGGACACCCTCCTGCAGGAGGTCCTCCTGCTCCCCTCCACCTTCTGTCCCAGCACAGGGCACCCCTGGGACTCAGTGGGCTCTGGCTCCCCGTGTCCCAGGAGCTGGCCCACCTGCCTCTGCACCTGGACCTCCTGAGTGAGACGGCCGAGCTGCAGCATAGGGAGGTGGAGGACATGGAGCTCATGGCCTCGCGTGGGCTCAGAGCTGCTCGTGGAGCCGAGGTGAGACCATCGTCCAGGGCACCTCAGGGTGCTTTCCTGCCCTCCAGAGCCCACACATGGCACCAGACGGCCGTGCTGCTGAGTCTTCCTTCCTTCAAGAAAAAGCAAGACTGAGCTTGGCTTCCCCGCAGCACCCAGATGCCTCCATAGCTCCTCCTGTGTCTGGCACTTGGGCCGGGCTGCCCTGAGCTGGGGACAGCTGCCTGAAGCCCTGGCCACGGGGAAGGTGGCGTTCTCCATTCTCTAGCTGGCCTTGCTCACTTTCCTTCCCAGGCTGTTTACAGGGGGTAGGGGGTGGCATTTTTGATGCTGGCCATGCCAGGCTTAGAAGCTCACAGAGGTCCGCTGGAGCTTTGGGAGCCACTTCTCTTCTGCTCTGCTCCAGGAGCGCATGGTCAGGACGAAAACCCAGGTCCTTGCAGAGAGGGAGCTCAGGCTCCGCACCCAGGCTGCTCAGAAAGAGCCCAGAGACGGAGGCTGGCTCAAGGAAGCAAAAGAAAGGGCTCTGAAAACGGTGAGCTGGGGGACCCCGGCACATTCAGGGTTGCCGGCATAGGGCGGGCATCAGTGCCCAGCCTGCCATGGGTGAGGGGCTGCAGGGCCAGCTCCCCCAGGGTGCCAGCAGCTCAGGGGTGACGATGAACATCCTTGCAGCAAGCCAAGCATGACCTCAGCAGGGACTTCCTGAGCCTGCCCGCAGAGGACCCAGTGGTGGGTGAGTGCCTGTCAGGGTGCAGGGGGGGGATGCAGGCGCAGCCGCAGGCATCCTTCCCTGCCACAACCTTTCCACCGCAGCTGCCAAACTGGAGGCCACCAAGTACCAGCTGCAGCGGGAGGCCTACGTGAGGGAGAAGATAGAGGAGGCCAAGGATGTGGTGCAGTGCTCCCGCCTCTGGGTGAGGTGAAAAGCCATCTCTGGTAGAAGCTGGGGCTGCTCCAGCCCCAGGGAGCTGAGCCTTGTCTGCTCACCTTGTTCCATGGCAGGGTTATCTGCTCTCCTCTGTCCCCAGAGCCCCCCAGGGCCCCTCTTGTACAGGCAGGGCTGGAACTGCTTTGCTCCACGCCATGAACTTGCAGTGCTTCCTGTGGTTCCTGGTGCAGAAACCTCCCCAGGAGCACGGCCCAGATCCTGTACCCTGCAGGAGTGCCCTGGGCTGAGTCCCTGTGCTCTCCCCCGGCCAGGACATCCCCATCAGGCTCCAGGCACAGCAGAAGTCCCTGCTGGAAATGGAGCAGTACCTCACAAGGTGCAAGGAGAAGAAGCAGGAGCTGGAGAAGGCAGTGAAGGAGCTGGAGATGCAGCGCGATGAGCTGAAGTTTCGCCGGCCCCCAGACACAAGCAGGTGCTGCTGGCCTCCGGACACTCATGCCAAAGGGGTCGGCACCCTTAGGGGCAGGGGGACACGTGCATGGCAGGTGTCCCAAGAGGGCAGCCCTTCCTTTGTCACCCTGCGGCTGCCCACCCCTCCCGCACTGGGAGGCTTTCTGAGCAGAGTGCTGCCCCAGCTCTGGTGCTGGCAGAGCACGCAAAGCTCCTGCGCTGGCAGCAGGAGGAGCCTTGCTCCTTGCCTGGCATGGGAAGTGGGAGCAGCAGCAGCGTGGGGTTGAGTTGCAGGCAGCATCTCTGCCCTGCGCTTGGGGGCAGGGGAGAAGCTGGGCAGCAGCTTTTGCAACAGCTTTGGGGTGTCTGCACCCCTGTGCCGTTGTATGGATGTGACCGTGGTTGGCTCCAGGGGGCTGGTGGAGGAGCTGAGGACGAGGCTGCAGCGGGAAGAGGCTCGGCTGGAACAGGGGCGAGCCCAGCTGCTGAGGAGCCAGGAGACGCTGCTGGACTTTGAAAACGCACTTGACAACCTCTTCGTCCGGCTGCGGGGCATCACCGTGCCTGGCCAGGTACCCGCCCAACGCTGGGCTGAGCAGAGCCCAGGCTCTGCTTGGTGCTGCAACGGCACCGTGTGGTGACACTTGGTGCAGCGACCATCACCCCAAGGGGCTCGTTCTCCCCACCAAGGCTGTTCCCTCTCTGACTCCAGGAGCATCCTGTCAAGGCCATGGCAGTGGACGAGAAGCTCCGGCAGTGTGAGCAGAAGCTGCAGTACCTGGTGCAGCGGGTGGCTGACCTGCCCCCCTCCAGCCACAGCGAGGATGATGAGGTGCACGGCGGCTCCATCCCTGCTGCGCTCTTTGGGGACCCGCACAGGCTTTCCCGGGTGGCCCGTGCCAAGCCATCCTCCCAGCTGGAGGATGGAGGTGCTCGAGGGAAGAGCCACGGAGCAGCTCAGGCCCAGGTGGCCCCGGGCTCTGTGGGGTGTTCCCTACCAGGGGCACATGGAGCTTGGGCACCCCTTTGCTTGTAACACCCGCCTCCCCTTCAGCTATGAACACAGCCTCTCTTTCACAGACTTTTGTGAAGGTCAGGCAGCTGCTGGAGGAAACCCTCATGGCCGATCCACGGAACCGGAAGGTTTCCTTGGAGGACACGGGCGTGGGGCTCCAAGGTAGGAAAGGGGACACATCCCACGGCAACTGCCCCAGCCAGCCCCTGCCTCCTGGCATTTCTGGCTGTCCTTGCCCATCTCCCACTGTCCCAGCAGAGCCCAACCCAGGAGTTGCTGCAGGCGTTGGGGCTGACCGCGCTTGGCTCCAGGCCTTTGAGCATAGTGCTGGTTTTCTGTGTGCATGTGGGAGACTGGAGGCAGATGGTGGCTTGGGGAGCGTAGAAGCACCACAGGAGCAAGGGGGGATGCTGTGGTGCAAGCGGGGAGAGCCTCGTCTTCAGAACCACTTGGCTGTGAATCTTCTTCACAGCCAGGGCTTGGCTCTGCCAGTGGCCTCCTCCTATGGGAGCTGCCGGCTCCTCCTGGGGACACAGGCACAGCAGAGGCAGCCCCACAGACCCTCCCCAGCCCGCTCCTCTCCGCTCTCTCCTCCAGACGATTTTGATATCCCTGACAACCACAGTGGCCTTGTCCTCACCAGAGAAGCCATCAAGAAGCAAGGGCTGGACTTGATCGAAAGCAAGAAGAAAAGCAAGAGGAAGTAGCGGTTGCTCCCCGAGACCTGGGGATGCCCCAGAGCACCCGTTGTGCACTTTTGCCTCCTGTTAATAGAGGAGATGTTTTTCATTCCATCGGATGCGCTTGGTGGGCTTTGTGTGACTGCAGGTGTGGGGATTCTATTGCCAAAACGTAGCACAAGCTGTGGTTTTGAAAGGAAGCTCCAGAAGGAGCATGATGTGCCAGTGACCACGTGGAATGGAGCGTCCCAGAACCAAGAGCCCAACAGGTACTTTCTTCTGCAATCACACTGCAGAAGACAACCCACCCATCTCCTGCCCCTGTCCTGTTCTCATGTGCTTACCGCAGCCAGGGGGGTGAGCTGAACTTCTAGGAACTACATCATAGATAGCCTGCATAGAAGAGCCAAAATTAAAACACCCAATGCCTCCTCCCACAACAGTGTGCCAGGACAAAAAGCTCTTGCTGGGCATCACCTACACATGGTGAGCACCAGATAAGCCCCACCGACGCGCCAACCTGCCCTTTCTTAGCCACCCAAAACTCCATCCCTCCACATGGAAGGGAACCAAGGAAAAGCTAGGGTGGAATGTGGGCATTGGCAGCAGCAGAATGGGAGGAAGCCCTGGGGTGGTGAGGCAGCAGGAGGCCTGTGCGAGAGGACCGCCGCTCCCCGGGGCTGAGGGACTGAGGAGCAGTGGGTCTGGACCCCAGCTGGGCACACTGTCCCCCCCACC